TTCACAATGGCCCGGCTGTGAAAAATTGTTTTGACAGAAATTGAGAATCCTTCTGCACAGCCTGTACAGGTGGTAAAATGGTTCTACTTTACCATTCTAACACAAACTCCATTGACCAGGAGCACTATTAATAATAAATTATCTCTTTCCCAGTAACATGGACTATATATCCTCCAGCTGAATGCCACTCTATCAAAGAAGAGGCATTATGATTTGTTTGGGGACCACTGCATGCACACTTGTCAAAAGATAGATGCTGGCTTGTTAAGGAGAAATATACAGCAGTTTAAGCTTAGTTGAGATCACTAGTCTCAAGTGAATGTATGTTCACACCAAGAAAACTACAGACCAGCTTCAGCAAAATTGGCAGTTTCTGTTCAGAGATGCCCAGGCCTGAAATAAAAGAGATACTACAAATCAAGAATGAAGGGCATTGGCAGAGCTGTGTGGAGGTAGATTGTATCGCACCTGCCTGCCCTATGCCTGGTTCTCAGTCTCCCCTGAATGACAGGGAAAAGCTGCAGGTTAGGGGTGAAACCCTTTGGCAACAATGTCCGAGGCAAAAGGGGTCATGGCTGAAATATTTGGGGCAAGTACAGATCGAGTTTGAGGGGAATTTGCAAAACCAGGCCCGAAACAGCAGGGATATGACAGTTGAGAAGCAAATTGGCAACCTTTGAGAGCAGCAGACAGGAAAAGCAGGAATGTAGTAGGTTATAGATCAGGAATAAAGAGGAATTAAAGTGCTAAGTGGATCAAGACTGGAATAAAGGTGTGTAGATCAGAGTTCAGGTGTACTGGTGGAGCTGGGTGAAGAAGACTGCTGTACTAGAACAGAAGGATGTTAGTGGATTACAGCAGTGAGTTTCAACTAGGGGTACTTGTACCCCTGGGGGTATGTAGAGGTCTTCCAGGGGGCACATCAAGTCATCTAGATATTTGCCTAGTTTTACAACAGGCTACATAAGAAGCACTAGTGAAGTCAGTACAAACTAAAATTTCATACAGACAATGACTTGTTTATACTACTCTATATACCATACACTGAAATTGAAGTATAATATTTATTTTCCAATTGATTTATTTTATGATTATATGTTAAAAATGAGAACAGAAGCAATTTTTTAGTAATAGCATGCTGTGACCCTTTTGTATTTTTATGTCTGATTTTGTAAGCAAGTAGTTTTATGACAAATCAGACTCCTCCAAGGGGTACAGTACTCTGGAAAGGTTGAGAACCACTGGGTTACAGGTTCGGCTTAAGGTGAATCAGAAGGGGAGCGAATAGCTAAAAGGCATTGGATTACAGGTCACCCTGGAGGTACATTATCAGAGGTATGAACAAGCTCAGGACCAACATGGAGAAGATTTGGAATCAGGTTTGGCAGAGCTGTTGGTGAAAGGGGCTGTCCATATCAGAATAGCATAGGTGCTGCAGATCAGTACAGCATCGCTTTGGCAATGGTGTACAGAGAGCCCTTGCATGAAAAATAGCAGTGTTTGAAAGCTCTGGGGTCCTTGTATGGAAATACCAGGTTAACAGTGAGATGCATTGGCAGAGGTGAAGAAGTCAGGTGCAATGGAATGGTGGTTAATATACTGAGGAGGTGTATTGACACTACTTTTTGATAAATGGAATACCATGGAGTGGTGAACTGTATCAGCATTCCAGTAACAGAACACTATTGGAGGCATCATTTACTTTACCTGAGAGGGGAATGTGTGGTTTCTTCCACTGCAGCGAGGGCTGTTCTAGACACTCACTACAATAGGCATTTAGGGAGATAGCAGATTCACATCCTTCCGTACCACAACACACATGGTCGCCACTGGCCAAAGATGAGTGTTGAAGTGAAGTGAAAAAAAAAAGGCATTATTCTACTCAAACCTCACTTCCCAGAGTCACAGTCCCATAATTCCTCATATTCCATTCTAACCCTCCTCTGACAGCTCCCTGTTCCACCTTCCCTCCTGATCTGTGTCTGATTTCCACTCTCCACAGTTTACACACACAGCTGGGAAGAAGGAGGAAGAAAAATGCCAGTACCGTATACTGCGTTGCTGCAGTCAAGAAGTAACCCCATGTGTATTACAGCATGGCTATTGTTAGCCTGACAGTAAGTCATGCCTTGGCATTTTTATTACATTTTCCATGTGGAACTGGACTGTTTGTGAACATATAGAACATCATTGGATTTCAGAAATTACAATCTTTCCAGATAAATCTATTCTTCGTGTCAAAGGCTTTGTAAGTATGTCTTTTTATGCTAAGAACATTAAGCAAATCAAGGGTTAAGAAATGTACTTAATTTGGCATTGTATCATGATAAAACAATCTTTCTTTTGTTTTTAATCATAGATATAAATCTAACTAGCATCAATTTGCGAGGGGCAGAGGCGGCGGGGGGCAGTAGGAGAGGAAAAATGCAGGAGACTTCAGATTCCTTATTTAACCTCTGTTTTTCCCTGCTGTCCAACCTCCAAAGCTCCAGGTCACAGCCACAATTGGCTGAGAAGAACTGGCTCAGGTTTCAAGTTAGCTGAAGGGACTGTCAACTGAGCAACACAACACATTTCCCACATCCTCCTCTGAAAAGGTTTCCACACATTTCAGATTAGGTTCTGTTATTTTATCTGATTCTGTTCGCTCCATCCCTCTTTACTAAAAATGTTTGGAACTGTAGTTCTCCTCTGTGGAGAGACCCAATTTCAAGGTGACACTATTGCAGCTGCTATTCTGGAATAGCAGAATGCAAAAAGGGCACTTTTCACTCTACCAGGGAGCTGTCTCCCGTGGTGGTGCTTAAAGATAAATATAATCAGCTTAGAGATGCTGTTATGTCTCCTGTTTTCTTCCTCTTCCTAATGGCTTGATGACTAGATCAATTGCTTAATCAGGTCAATGAATATTAACAAGAATATGGGCAAATTCTCTTAGCTGAATAAGGATTGAGCCATCCTGTTTGTGTACTCTGCACTAGAGCTTTAGGATGAGTTTTCAAACTAGATAAAACAGTTATTTGCCCTAGGAACTTTCAAAAATATTAGTCAACATATGCTCCAGTCATAAGCCTCAATTTAGTGTCTTTTCACATCTCATTGTAGATTGTTTCTCTTCCATGCCTAATCCTGCAAACTGCTTACTACATTGAGTCACACCCTGGAAATCAATTGGACTACTCACAGAAGTAGAGTCTATTGCTTGATAAGATGTATTCGCAGGATTGAGCTCTAAATCAGTAGCAACACCATGTTACTTTCCATATTCTTGCCTTGACTTCTACATTGCTGGAGGTCTGTACTTCACTCCTGTGCTGAACGTGGACATGGCCATTGTTTCTGATATAGAGATGTCAAATCATGCTTCTTCTCATCCCTCTGACTGAATCAGCCTAACCTGAAAGTCTCTGGTCAATCCAACCTTCCTCAAAGTAGGTTTTGCTGCCTATTTACAAGAGGATATTGGCTTTTTGCATTTTTACTAATCATTGTAATGAGTTGATTGTCAGTGAAATGTGCCACAAAGAGTAAAGTCTCTTTATCCACATAACAGGTAAAGCAGCAGTGAAAGCTTCCTCAAACTGTCCCAACAATGTGCTTCAGGCCTGGCCTGGAAAAAGATACTCCAGGGCTGAGAGGACATTTCACAGTTAATGGTTTATTCAAACCCTTATCTTCTCTGCTGGGATTGCAAACAAAGTAGAAAATTAGAACTAGTGTCATTGTGGGATTTTGTGAGGTGGACAGCTGTCCACTGGGAACGGAACTGAATCCCCTGACTCATTCTACATCTGTCACCGAGAGCATCTATCACACGGCAATGACTTTTGGTCTCAATAGCCATGGACAAGTTCCACGCTGGACATCTGGGAAGGAATGGCTCTATATTCCGATGCCACGCTCCTGAGTCACCCCTGGTTCCACAGGTTGAGACACAACTTCATTGTGCTAGAATGGTCCCTGTAATAGAGATTTAATATTCCCATGGGGCTCCTGTGCACAGTGGCGTAGCCAGCTTCTAAGAGGAGGGGGAGCAAACCTAAAAGGAGCCCCCCTTGGCTCCTCCTCTGGCCACGCCCCCCTTAGCTGGCTCCTCCTCCGGCCGCTGTGCGCCCCCCCCCACCCTTGACTGGCTCCTCCAGCCACACCGCCCCTCCCCCCCATGGCTTCTCCGGCCCTGCCGTGCCATCCCAGCGGGGGCCCCCCCCCGCTCCTCTGGCCGCGGCTGCCGGCTGCCATGCTGCACCCCCCCACTCCTCAGGTCGCGCCCCTCCGCCCCCCCGTGACTGCTGGCCGCCAGCCTGCGCGCCCCCCCCCCTCCTCCGGCCGCGTGCCCGCCGCCCACCCATGGCTGCCAGCCGCGCTGCCCCTCCTCGCTCCTCCGGCTGCAGTTGGAAAGGCGCCGCTTTGGGCAAATTTGCTGAGGGGGAAGCGGCTGCTTCCCCTGCACCCCGCTAGCTATGCTACTGCCTGTGTATGCAGAAGAAGTCTAAAGGAACTGTGATTCAGTATCTGGGGAGGACAAGAAACAGATTCCTCACATTATCTTCCCAGCAGCTCTCCCGAGTGCTCTTTCAAGCCTCCTGACTTTAGCCGACCTTTTTGTCTATCTGCTGATCATGTGCTGTATTTGCCAACTTTATTTCTAATGTCTCAAACGGGAGCCTGTATCCCCCTGTTCCTGTGTGAGGTCACTATATAAGATATTGCTTGGCAATGTTGTGATGCAGACTAGAGCTATACAAACACTTAACAGGTTTTCAGAGATCACCCTAAGGAAATCCAATCACTTGGTTAAAAATTGTTACTTTTTACAGAAGAGAACCAATTTGGCATCATCTTTTATGCTTTGACTGAAGGGCACATCAAGAAAATAGGCCCAAGTCAGCTTTTCCCTTCATTTCCTCTTCCTCCCGTACTCACCTCTTATTTGCGAGGTTACAGGGCCATATTCCTTTTAGCACTAATTCATAGACTTTCATTCAAACCATGGTTCTTACCTGTGACGACGCTGGGGATTTTAGACAGAAAGCTCTTGACTGTTCGGATGGGAACTCCACCTGCTTTGTCATCCTGCATTCTTGTAATTATATCTTCAATCTGCCAAGGGGGAAGGAAAGGATTACATTGGGTTTGCAAGAATAGTGACTATAGATACTCAAAATACTGATAAAGTATTGGCACCAGCAAAAACTAGGTGCCATGGAATCTTTTCACGTCATTTGCTAAGATTTGCTAAGCTATTCCAACTCCCTTGTCACTGAGAAGAAGGGGAAAAGGGATTGAAAATGTATTGATATGATTGGTTAATGCAAGGCTTACATGAACAGTCCTAGAAATGGAAGACTAAGTTCCAGACATGTCAATGACTTCCATTTTTTTCTATTGGGCCATATCTTGAATTCCTTACTCAGTCAAAACTCACACAGAAGACAGTTGGCCCAGAATAATTAATGCACTTCAAAGGTAAAAGTAAAAGAATTGGAAAAAAATGAAGCAAGTGGAAAAATTAAGCAAAATTTCAGATAGTTTCAGTTGCTCCTGGCATTGGTTGCCACGTATTTGGGAATAGCTGCATCACACACACATGGCTCCAGCACATAAATAATGTAGTCAATCCAAACATGACTCCCCAAAACAGTGGAACAAATCAAAGCTGAACTTACATCCTTAATATGTGCAGTGATGTGAGTTACCTTGGGAGTGAGACAAATGGTGCTGTGTGTATTGCTATACTATACTTACTAGCTGGCATCTGACTAGAACTAGTTGAAGTGTATGTGTGTGTGTGTGTGTGTGTGTGTGTGTGTGTGTGTGTGTGTGTGTGTGTGTGTGTGTGTGTGTGTGTGTAGTAAG